TCCTAATAAATTTAATCTATAATAAATGGACTGAGCACTTTGAACTAAAACTTCAATATGGTTAAAATAGTTTGCTAAATGAAGGGGATATAATCATTATTCCAAACTTATAAAAGATTATTTAAAAAGATTTGTTATTGATGAGATTCAAAGAGAAATATTTAAATGTTAAACAGAAGAAACTTGGACAGAAAAAGTCAAATATGACGTATGTGAAAATATTACAAGCCATTTTTAAAGAAAATTCATGCTGAAAGTAAAGAGCATTGCATCAAAATAAAGCTATCAAAGAAGAGATAGCTTACGAAGGACGTGTGAAAACGTATTTAATAGTTAATGTTAATAATTATGTCAGTGCTCAAGAAATTTTGTTTAATATAGAAAATATTTTTCTTTCTAAAATTTATGAGTTACAACGCAAAAATAAATTAAAAGTTAACGTTAAATTGCATTGAGTTTATTGAAGACGAGACGAAAAGGAGACTTTTTATTCAAAACTAAAAATTAAATAATTCTAAAGTCAACTAATTTTGAGGATTATTATAGAGATGCTGTTGACAAACTTTCAACAGAAACGACTGATTTTAAAGCAAGAGGATCTAAATGAGTCTTAGAAAGCATAGACAGTTTAGAACTTCGAAACAATAAATATAATCCATTAAAAAGGTTCATTATGTTCATTATATATTGAATAACTTAAAAACATACAAGATAAAAAAGCTGTAATGAATATTAAAAATGACGATCAAGAATGTTTCATGTATTGTACATAGAAAACAATCACAACCAGAACGAGGTAGTGATTATAGTAAATCAGAACAACTGAAAGATGTTACTGAAGGAGTTAAAGGCCATATTGCTATAAATTTGAAAAGAGAATGAATATATCAATAAATGTCTACAGTTATGATGTATTATTACAGTATTATTTATTCATGAAGTATAACTAAAAATAAGCAAGAGCAGCAGGTTAATCTCTTATATATAAAATATAAAACTAATGTGCATATTTGTCTTATCAGGGACTTATCTCGATTAAGTAAAAGTCAAGTGATAAAACATAAATCAAAAATATATCCATCTGATAGATGTCTGCAGTATTTTTATTCAGATTGAAGAAGACTGTAAGACAAAGGAAGATGTGAAGATTAAATCCCTTTAAAGGATGCAATTATATGATTTAAGAATATAAATAATTCATTAAGAGTTTCTTTTGTTATATATGCTGATCTTGAATGCTTATCGAAAACATGAGCTTATGAGTTTTTGTTATTATATCAAGTATATTGATGGACGTTATAAATATCCTATAGTTTATGGAGAACAAAATGCACAAACTTAATTCAGGAAAATGATTAAAGGAGAAGTTGGAGAAATAGAAAAGTTATATAACGTTAATAAAAAAAATTGATGATTTAACTGATGATGAAAAAGATAAATTTAAAAATAATGGCATCTGTCATATCCACGATAAGGTAACCATAATTAATTTCTATTATAAGAACTGTGGAGATAAAACAATTGACACTGAAAAGAAAATCCACAACCCTAATCCTTGAACTATAAATTATAGAGGACCTGCACATGGAAGTTGTAAGCTTTTGTTTGGAAATCTTTCATTTATATCATTGCTGATTCATATCGATAAGCATCTGTTTATCAATGAATTAGGTTGGGGTGATAAAGAAATTGATCTAATTCCAAACAACGAAGAAAAATATATTTCATTTAGTAAAAAAAAAAAAATCGGTAACCTGAAATTAAGATTCATAGATTGTTTTAAGTTCATGGCTAGTAGTTTTGATAAACTTTCAAGTAACCTTTACAAGCAGAAACCTAATGATCCTAATGGGGAGGTAAAATTAAGAGACTTGGAGGGCAGGGCAACAAAGCTAAATTTGATGATTGTCACTTTCAATGTTTTTTTAGCGATTTTCAGATATTTTTAATGGTTTTGGCTATTTTTAATGATTTTGGTCTATTTTAACATTTTGTATTTTTTTAATTCGTTTACCTTTAAGTGGAGCAGAAATCAAATATATAGACTACCTAAGAACTAAGAAGTATATGCAATATCCTAGAAGATGATGTTCCCAATCCACGCTACCCTAGCTCTTGAAGCTTCTGTTGTAGCCAGTTTTGATTTCCTACTGGTTTGGCATAACACATTACTTCTGTACAGTCCAGAAGAAAAGAACTATATGGATAAAAGTCAACATAAAACTAAAATATACATTCACAGATTGAAAAATTAACACTTACAAGTGTGCAAAGAAACTGTTTGCTGTATGGCCCAATGTACTGTTATTTTTTGGTATAAAATAAATTATTTCAGAATATACATATAAATAAAGGGAAAATGCGAAATATAAAACAAACTGAAGTTGAACATCTATTTTCAAGTTGGCCATAAGTTCTACCAGATGAGGGATTCAATTTCCAGGTGAAAAACGTAAGTACTAGTACATTTGGAGCTGAGTAGTTACCATGTCACATGAGTACCACAGCAATATATACAGTTTCTGTATTTGAAATGACATTCTCTCATCATATTGTTCGATTCTCTGTTATGCATGCTGTGGCTTTACTCAGCTGTCAGCGCACACTCTCGTGATTGCCCACAGATGCTTCACATGAACAACCTAAATACTGGGGTATCTCTCTGTTGGATGGCAAGTCATAGTTGAAGTTGATATAGCATGTCGTATTCCACCTAAACATCAATAAATTTGTGGAACAACCACTCCGCTGTTATTCTGTTGAAAGATGTATCATCATTAAGTTTACATTGCATATTCAACCAGATCGTTAGACTGAGAATGATAAGGTAATTACTCCTACTACTCAGAATAATTTGTTTGTGTAAATGTTTCCCTGCTTGCTGTATAACTCTTCAGGTAATCCAAAATAAGCAGTTAATTACTCATCTACTATGTCTACAAGAACCTAAACTATGCTGACAACAAAATAGGCTTCAGCTATTTTGAGAATCTCAAATATGTACTATTTAAATAAGGTACAGGAAATCACTTAAATGTATGTGTTTTAGTATCTAAACACTAATGTAGTATCAGAAACTCATATAAGCAGTATTTTCAAACACACAGTGGTAGAAAATGAATGTAGTTAAGGAAGTATGACTTTTTCCCATGACGTACTAACTGTATCTTTGATCTACGATATAAACTCTCTACAGCCAGTCAGTAATATTCATTAGAATGGTAGGCCTAACACTGATTATTGCAGTTTAACCTAGTGTGGCCAGTTTTGCCATGAAGCAAAAGCGCATAATATAAAATTGGAACTATATCTATGAATTTGGCCAATAGAATTATCACCACGGATTTCTGCTGTCATATGCACACCCTCCATCTCTCTAATTTATGGATAAGATAAAGCTTATATTATTTTCCTGTCAAAGGTATACCTAGAACAAATAAAAGCATTACAGCTTCGATTCAACACTAGTGCAAATTATTATGCCAATACAGCAAGCCATCTCACATACAAATATCATAGATTGGAGATGTCTGCAATGTGTCCTCTGCTTTGTAGTCATCAGTCCTCATCTTGCTATACTTGGTTACCAGCATCCAAGCAATATCCATCTACAACGTGTATGTGTTGAAAAACGCGTTGTTTGAATTGCACAACATAGCTTGTAAGATATCGCTTATTGTAAAAAAAAACACATAATTTTTATGAGTATTTGTTTGTTTGTTTTGAATTTCGCGCAAAGCTACACGAGAGCTATCTGCGCCAGCCGTCCCTAATTTAGCAGTGTAAGACTAGAGGGAAAGCAGTCATCACCACCCACCACCAACTCTTGGGCTAATCTTTTTAACAACGATTAGTGGGATTGAGCGTCACATTATAA